TCGAGTGAACAGTGAGTGATAAGACGAAAGAAGAATCTTGAAAGCCGGAATTGGTTGGTAGTAGGTTTATTTTTAATACTAAGAAATAATAAAAATAATATAAATAAGAAATAATAAAAATAATATAAATAAGAAATAATAAAAATAATATAAATAAGAAATAAACGTGGACGAAATTTATTAAGAGTTATGCCATTGGAATACAATTTTCCAATTAATTGTATTCCGTGAAATAACTTATGAAGCTTCTCCTACTATAACACCATAGATTCTGAAAGATGAGCGCGTAGAATAAAGCGGAAGACAGCGTTCTACGCGCTCTCCCACGACTCGATGACGACAGCAAATCGTTTCGAGCAAAAATACCTAAGAGGCAAGCTGTGATTTAATATTCTCGAGGAATCGTTTATTGCAACAATACGTTTACGCTTTAAAGGGGTGAGGTGAAAGTACCTGAGGTCCCGGAGTCGTAAAGTCAAAGAAGCAACGCGAGTGGTAAGCAAAGGGTCGCCCAGTTTCGTTTTAACCCTGAAGGAGTTTCGACCCTTCGAATACGTTTCTGGTGAATCACCTGAAACTATCTCTCGGCTCGAATTCTTCGATGGTACACGTACCCCTTCTCTGGTATGCGGGGATACTTCCTCTTCTCGGAAGAAACTTTCATATTTGACGCTTGCATTCCATAACGTGACAGGACTACCTTTCTTCTTAATCACACGTGACCTAAAAAATTTTAGCGTCCTGCCAAACCCCAAAAATTCTTTAAAATAAAAATTCTAGAATTCCTCAGCAATCCTTTGAAAATCCTTCCAAAACGCTCCTCAATTATTGGTATAGTCGTGACTTAAACAATTTTAGCGTCCTGTCTATCCCGTCGTCAAATCTCAAAAATTCTTTAAAATAAACATTCTAGAATTTCTCAGCAATCCTTTGAAAATCTTTCCAAAACGCTCCTCAATTATTAGTATAGTCGTGACCTAAACAATTTTAGCGTCCTGTCAAACCCCAAAAATTCCTTAAAATAAAAATTCTAGAATTCCTCAGCAATCCTTTGAAAATCCTTCCAAAACGCTCTTCAATTATTGGTATAGTCGTGACCTAAACAATTTCAGCGTCCTGTTTATCCCGTTGTCAAATCTCAAAAATTCTTTAAAATAAAAATTCTAAAATCCTTAGCAATCCTTTAAAAATCCTTCCAAAATGCTCCTCAATTATTGGTATAGTCGTGACCTAAACAATTTTAGCGTCCTGTCTATCCCGTTGTCAAATCTCAAAAATTCTTTAAAATAAAAATTCTAGAATTCCTCAGCAATCCTTTGAAAATCCTTCCAAGATACTCCTCAATTATTGGTATAGTCGATTCGCGATAATTCGAACCTGTTTAAGTCAAAAGCTTCTATGAATGCAATATTTTATCCATTTGCTTGTGATCAAATACGAAAATTCGAAGGATTGTGCTTTTCTCCGAGGTTCGAGTGTATCCATATCCCGAAGAGTTAGGTATATCTCGAGTTCCATGAATCTCTATCGAATGAACGTCCTTGGAAATGAAATAGAAGCTGAAGAATAACAATTATCCCAAAAATTTCATCAACATCAGCTCCATCTACCCAGACCCTGACCACCATCTCCCAATTCGCTATTTCTGTTCCCTAACCTCCACTTCCTAATCCCCTGGCCCATCTTTAAAGGGCCGAAAAAGAAGCAAGAGTCTGTATAATACATCAAATGCCAAGCTCGAAGCGTTACACCCCATAGGCTGGCCACGAAATCACACGGATGGAAGAAAGGAGTCTGGCAACAAAGAAACACGCGAGGCAAGTGCTGCCAACCTGAGACTCTAGCCTACATGTTCCTGCGAACTTGGCTGGAAACACGGTACCCTCTGCCTGCGGCAATTAACTCGCGAGATTGCTAATTAACCCCGTGAGAACACCTGGGAGGATCCAATGCGTACACGGCCGGTCTTCTGGTCCCAGCATCGGACGCGTCGCGTCGTTCCGTTCCGTTTCGTTTCTCGTTCCATGCATCAAACCAACCTTTCCGAGAAGACTTACTCGCTGTACGTTTACTACAATGAACCTGCAACGACGTGGAGGGGCACTTTCCGTTCCCTCGACCAATCCTCGAACACCTGAGAACGTGTTTCTCAGAGGAGAAAGGTGTGGGGGCCCGTTACGATCGCTGCATCTGTCGAACTTCGATTGAATACACAGCATGTGTATGAAAATCCCGATCGCGTGAAAATCGTAGAGATTTATTTCACAAATCTGACAAATTCTCACCCCTTTACCCGGAATATTAAGCAAATTCTCAAATTTTAGAGATACGAACGATTTTACGACACAGTAGGTCACAGTGAGGAGCAAGAAACAGCAAATGACCCTGAAATTATGTATTCAATGGCAGTAATCATACCTTGAGTATAAGAAATGCTTCCCAAGTAGATCCTTCACTATGAACTACACGGAATGTGATACAGGTCAAAGAGAGTAACGAGAATAATTAAATGGAAAGATTAAAGTACTACCATCCACTAAACGATACCTTTAACACTAAGTCTACCATGGTCTAAATCATGGTTTACCAAACTTTCATTCAAAATTCCGCGTTCAACGATATCACGAAATGTTAATTACGTTAACTATGGAAACCGTGTTGTTATTTATTTATTTATCCGTTCATATTTATATCGAGGGACAGTTTGGATACTGAGATGAATCGCTGGTAATACGTGATATAAAAATTAGCAGGACAGAGTTTGATCCGTGTTATATCAAAGGGATTTAGTTTTTAACCCGTCGAAGACTGGTTATTCCGAAATTCTCTCTGCAAGCTTTAAGAAATTGTGCAGCAAAGCGAGAAAAATTCAAGTTTAACACTAAACCAATTTAGCAAATTTTCATTAAAAATTCCGAGATCAACGTTATCATCTTAATCACTCGTCTTCGCAATTTTTATTCCAACATAGGTATAGTCTTTTTCCATATTTAAAAGCTTCTACTTCTTTTCCATTCATCGTGGTCATCATTTAACCGTGGTAACTTTAGCGTTAAACCTCATTTACAATTTCGTATTTAAAATACACGTTCTCATATTTAAAACGCAAACTACCATATTCACCTTTTCACTAATGGACAAACAGGTTGAACCACGCAAACAGGTGAACCCGAAGAATCCCTAGGAGCGCTCGAAACCTAGATAATCCTAGACTCGCTTGATACGTCCGACTGTCACGAAGATTTCTTTCGAGAGATCTTTCGTTCGTTGCTCAAACAATCGCTACGTTTGATGGTGCACAGTTGTACAGCGCAAACATCGGTCCACCATGGGGCAAATGAAACCGAGAGGTACTCTTTTACCCGAGATTAGATTACCAACGGGAGATTGGCGCTGTAACACGAAGTGGACACGCTACGCGGCGACCGTAAGGCAATCCTTATTCGTCTCGAGCTCTCTCGAGAGCCTCAGCCTATGCACCTCTATCTCGAGCGTCCCGTTTCCTCCCTCATGGGGCGTTTTCATTATCGTCGTGGGAGCCACGGAATCGCACGAGCGGAATCACTCGACGCGACACAGTCTCCGGCGAGCTGCACGCGAAAACCACTCAAGGCTGTCCGCTTTTGTTGCCGAGCCATCGGAGCTCATCGATACGTAAAGATGTCAAGGCGGTTTCTAATGAAACCGAGTCCCGCCTAGGAGTACCCGTTGTCTCTGTTAAATCGATTCACGGATCGAGCGATTTTCAGAATTTTCAGACGGTGCTTCCATTCGAGGGACGTTTAACCCTTAACGATCGCGCGTCTGTTGACACGGTTTCGGTCTTACGTGACATTTTCTTGGTCCCCTGTTAACCCTCTTAGCTCATCCTTCCAGTTTATGCGAAACTGTCTATATTCCCATTTTATGAGATATCGATTTGTTTTATGACACGAGGGTAGGAAGATGAAAATAGAACATCGTCGTATTAAAAAGAATCAGTTTCACCCCTTACCTTAGAATTTCAGTTCCGATGATGCGTGCCATAATCGAAGAACAAAGTCACACGACCACACACGGAGCCATATCATCCGAACGCGACGAAGAATAACACGTAATTGACGAATCTCGACTTGTCTCGGCCGAAAGACATTGACGAAAATTAACGATCATGCGTGGAATTTCGTCCAAACATGGCGAGGAATAACACGCAGGTGGGACAGGAAAGATTTGCGAAAAATAACCACTTGTCTCGCGTTTTGTTTACGTTCTATCTACGAATCACGTCTCTCACACGTGATTTTCGTGTTCGACCCGATATCCAATCACGAGTCTTACGCGATATTAGGGGTATAAGAATAAATAATTACCAATTATTAAATAAAGGTTATTTTTGACAGCCGTGGGTGTTAAACAATCACCTTGATACTATAATCGATGCATGTGTTATACATATTACGGGTGTCTTAATTATTTATTAGACGAAGAGAAGAATATCAGTGGAGTATTACTTTATTACCAACTAAATTTAATCAAAAGCTATAACCCATTAAAACATTTCTTTAATTCATAGAATCGGGTCCAAGAATCAAATTCGTATTTAAATAAAATTAATTCGGAAGCAAAAATTCGCGAGACGCGATAATTTTTACGATCTCCAATTAACGTCCATATTGAAATGTAAAGTCTAATCAGAGACACGAGATAACCGACGACAGGAACGAATTCCACGCATTCCCGCCATGAATCTTGCACGCATCGAAACGCAGCTCCGTTGCAAATAAAAGCGAAGAAAGTAAGAAGCGTTCCGGGATCTTCTCTCATTTTTATCTTCCTTTTTTCACGGACAATTTGTCCGTTTCATCGCGGGCTTTAGTAAATAATCTCCGGTGACGAGACAACCTGCTATCCACGTTCATTCTCAAGGAACGCATTTAACCAAGTCCTGTGATGTCGGCTCTTAATGAGGTTCCCGGTTCTTTTTCTCGTGTCGACGTTGGGAAAAGATTCATCTGGCTTACCTTGAGGGCGCAGAAGATGCAGGACTCCCGCATGCAGGCGTGTCCGGAAAGTTCCCTGAAGCTTCGCCGGAAGATGTCGAGGTGCCATAACACCTGAAACGCGAGAAAATGAATTTTTACAGACACGTGAAGCCGGCACAGGGACGGGAGAAACTCGCAACGCTGACAAAATATCGTAAATTTCCAGCAAGCTATCCCGGGCATGCTCTATCTTCGGAAATCTGAAAATTTACTACCAAAATCTGTTCTCACAGTTCCCGCAGATATTTTACTCTCTACTCTTGCGAAATTAACTCTCTGCAAATCGATAAAAGTACTGTTCTCTCGTCCCATTTACAGTATTTTTATGTCGCGTACTAAAATTCAAGTGTTACTAAATTTCCTGCCTTTTTAGTCATTCTGTTTAGTATATAATAAATTGTTAGTTCAACGCAGTGGTTCGCAACCTGTGGTACCTTAAACACGGTATACTACGACGTACAGATATTATAATACATAACTCGGTTAACCCCTTGCACTCGAGAGGCGCCTCTCAGTCGCCATTTAATCAGATTCTAAAGATGGATGTTAATTAATATATCAAATTTATAGTTACCCAACGATGCATGAAATATCGAAGTAAAATAATTCTACGTCTCAAATTACATACGATTTCTTATTTACTGTTTTAAAAATTTCGTCGACCTTATGGCAGAAAATCTCCGAATTATTATTTTCCTGTAACGAAAATATCACCGAGTGCAAAGGGTTAACATGTCGACTCTTAGTATGCAATTAGTTAATCGAAATTAAGAAGAAAATTTGGTAAAAGAAATATCTGGAAAATTTTTCGTATCAAGAATACAAAACCCATTTAAAGATAGTATATTCAACACGATGGAACTATTACTATCTCCTTACCATATTCATTTTTCAAGGCTCCACCCAGTCCGAATTTATTACTTCAACAGCGCAAGCCCGTCACGGTGTATGATAATTAATAATAAATCTTCGGAAAGGCTGGACGAGTAGTAGGAGTGAAAAACAGTGGCACTCAGTGAGTGTGCGTGCACGCAATATGAGGAAGCATGGAAATGCGACAGCGTGGTGCGTGGAACGAACCCCTAACCACGCGCTATAGTAGCCCACCGTATCGTGAGCGCATTATTATTCCGAGGGAAAGTAAATCACAATTTCCGCGGTCATGTCCTGTCGCATAGCGGAACATTATTTTCGCCTTTCCGGCCTGACAACTTAAACATCCGGTGTATTCCTCAAAATCATACACCGATACCTCGACAAACAACGGAACTAGGAAGGAATGCTGACCAAGTAATTTTATATCGAATTATCCACTACGTTACTATAATAATGTAACTAAAAGAATATCATTAATCCTGTTTACGATTTATTTTTACAAAATTTTGCAGAGAAAATTCTATTTGAACATTGTATAAATTTATTACCAATAATTGAAGGTGGAGCAAAGATTTGCGAATTTTTATTATCTTTTTATATTTTCAGACATTTATCTTTTGAAAGAAATAAATTGAAATTAACCTAACCTAAACTAACGAGCTTTGGAAGTTTCCTAGTCACAGATCTATAAAATTTTATTTCTATTTTTAATTTTAATATATGCACCTCGGATGATAAAGGATGAACGAATTTAACGAGCGATAATTTGCTGTACGAGTGAAAGATTGGAGAAGAAATTGGTTTTGCTGGCTTCGATTCAATTTCACACCAGTTTCTTCTTAAGATTATTACAATAATAGCGATATCGGACAACTCGGTGTATTTTGGCTAATATTTTCGCGCGATAATTTGTTGCAGAGGTGAAAAACAAGAGGAAGAAATTGGCTCTCTCGCAATTAAGTTAATTGCAGAATTCGAGATCGCAATAAAGCGTGTTCATCGCGATACGGTGGATCCGATTTAATTAGCTCTAATGTATTTTCGCCTGGAAGAAGAAACAGGGGACTGGAACGCGACCGGCTGGCCATTTTTGTGGGTCGCGTTGCCTCGAAATTTATTGGAAGTTAATTCGATTCGAAGTTCATTTATACGAGTGGAACCAGGCTAATTCGATTAAACGGCAGGAATTGGCGTGTTGTAAATTCTAATTAATTTTTTCCCGACGTCTGAACGTTCCGGTTAAGCCGAGGACACTCGTCGGCCGAAGCGTGGAAACGGTTGAAAGCGCGTCCCGCAACCCTTTATGAATATTCATCCATAGAACAAATTAATCAACTTCTGATAGCATTCCTGACTTCGCAAATGAGCAGAGGAAATGAATTCTAAGACGATTTATAATTTCAGCCTGCTTTAAATTAATTTACGAATAAAAACTCTGTCAAATAAGAAAAGTGTATATTATTAACATCTTTTGTACATCAAACAATTTTTAAAAATTTTAATATATATGACACTGTGATATTTTTAAATTATTATATTTTATATTAGAATATCCTCGCTTTATTATATTTCATACTCTAATACTTTGAAATTATTGCATTTCTCATTGCAGCATTTTTAGTTTATTATATTTTATATTGTAACGTTAAAAAATATGATTTTTGTAGATAATATGATAAATTGGAATTTCGCGAGTACAATATTTTTCTGGGAATGAAAATAATTACGATGATATATAAATCATCGCGATTTTGAATGTCGTATGTATATAATTCCTCCTCTTCGTTGGAGGTGTAGAATCCAACGAATTTTATCGAACCATATCATTCACACTCCTACATCGCGAGATCTATGGTGCCCTCTTTTTTCACGCGTTATCGTAAAAGGAAGATGCAGAAACAGCGTGCATGTACGTGCGGGAAAGTGTTTTCATTCAATGCACGTGTTTTGAAAGACTCGTGGGATCCAACAGGTGAACCAGGGTCCTTCTTCCAGTAAGGGCGTATCAATATGGCTTCCAAGTCGTGCAATACTCGGGAGACAAGTGCACGATTCGATTATTACAAGATGTATAAATCATAAGTAAAACCTAGACACATATATAAGCTGTTTTATAAAAATAGGTATAATGTCTGTACCAGTTACGTCTTCGTTCTACTCCTATACACATTTATTATTTTTATACACGCGTACGTGTGAATTTCGTTGAAATAATTTGTCGTAGACTCGTTACACCGTAAGCAACGGTAATACTGATTACACCCTGATACATATTAATTGACAACTGATCAACGTGTGAAGTAATTAACGAGGAAACGTTGTGGTAACAGTTACTCATTCTAACTGCTGAGATGCTGGCAGGAAGATGGTCGTACAGTTACAAGAAGATGGAGCAATTCGTTGCGAAATTCGTCGATCAATAGCTCTCCTTTCACTCCATCAAACGAAGACCTTTTTAAAAAATGATTTACTTTAATCTTAATATTTCTTGTAAATCTGAAAACTTACAAATTACCTTCAATCATGATTGTGTATATCTTATTTACTATTTTCCTCCATTTTTAAAAATACTTAATTAATAAAATTCGTGTAACAGGTTTCGAAATTTTGTCCAATCTTTTCCTGATTAAATAATTATAAAAGAATATCAGGAAGTCTCATGGAAATTGTATTTACGCTTTACAACAAGCTGTGCTAAATACCTAATTATTGTTGCATGACTCCGAACCATTCGTTCAGACTTGCTTCATGAAACGCAGCTCCCGGAGAAACATTTCTTTGCCAACTCTTTCAACCTTGTTATACTGTTTTTTAAAGTGCGCTGTAAATCAATGTATACCGTAACTCGGAACTTCAACAGGTACGCTTAATCTAAAATTAAGATACAAATAACTGGAAACTTGCATCTTCCGCAAACGAAGAAGCGCATAACCCTTCATTTTCTATTTTTATGCAGAACTTGCTTGCCTTTCGTCCATTATTAATTTCCATCTCCCAGTATTATCTGACCCTCTCAATCGTCTAAAAATGTTTGATAATATGCAAATCACAGACGTCCCACGATACCAACAAAAAAGTTTGACACAGGAAGTACCGATCTGCTATGTGCATCAACCTAAACATAGTTCGCAGATGGTACCGATTAAAATTGTACAATAAAAATAAACAAGTATATACAATTATATTTTTGACTTGTAATTAGCAAATGGCAATATTAATTTTGGTAAAAGTACCTGTGTATTTTCTATAACAACAAAAGAAAAATATTCAGAAACTATAGTTTGTTAATCCCAGTATCGATCATCGATTCTATATCTCGATGAACTTAATTGAGCATCATGAGGTTGCTTTTTCACCCAATTTTCTCAATTTTTATTAGCAATTGCAAAATGTAAGAATCTGAAATTAATCATTTTCATACTTCCTATAATAATAAAATAAAATATTCCGACACTATAGTTTGTTAATCCCAGTATCGATCATCGATTCGATATCTCGATGAACCTAATTGAGCACCCTGAGGTTGCTTTTTCACCCAATTTTCTCAATTTTTATTAGCAATTGCAAAATGTAAGAATCTGAAATTAATCATTTTCATACTTCCTATAATAATAAAATAAAATATTCCGACACTATAGTTTGTTAATCCCAGTATCGATCATCGATTCGATATCTCGATGAACCTAATTGAGCACCCTGAGGTTGCTTTTTCACCCAATTTTCTCAATTTTTATTAGCAATTGCAAAAAGTAAGAATCTGAAATTAGCCATCTTCATACTTTTTATAACAACAACAAAATAAAATATTCCGAAACTATAGTTTGTTAATCCCAGTATCGATCATCGATTCAATATCTCGATGAACCTAATTGAGCACCCTGAGGTTGCTTTTTCACCCAATTTTCTCAATTTTTATTAGCAATTGCAAAAGTTAGGAACCTGAAATTAGCAATTTTCGTTACTTTGGCAATGTCAGTGTGAAATTATTAAATAAATATCTCGATGAACCTAATTAAACCCCACATTACTTTGTTCAGCCGATTTCCTCGGTTTCTCGGTCCAACAAAAAGGCTCCTAACTTCACACAGCGGTGAGCGTATTAATCCGACGATTTCATCACGAAAGTGCCTCGTTTCCCAGCAGCGTATCTGATTTGCATTGCAACCGACAATTTCACGCGATTTCCATATGCGATC